GCGACGACGACAGAAGATGACGAGACGACGGGACACGAACGACCGCGACGAGACAGAGGACGACGACGACGGAGACGACGACGACGACAGAGAGACGACGACGACTACGACCGACGACAGAGAGGTGACGACGACGACTGCGACAGGCGACAGAGAGGACGACGACGACAGGCGACGAGCGACCAAGAAGGTACGAGACGACGTGAGGCGAGACGACAGAGAGGACACGACGCACGACGACGACAGGAGAGACGACTAGACGGACGGACAGAGAGACGACGCGATACGACGACGACAGAGAGAGGACGACGAGCGACCGAACGACAGGCAGAGGAGACGAACGAACGACGACTACCGACGACGACAGAAAAGAGGACGACGACGACTACGACGACCGAACAGAGAGGACGACGACGACTACGACGCGACAGAAGAGGACGCGACGGACTACGACGACGGACACAGAGGACGACGGACGACTACGACGACGACAGAGAGGACCACGACGACTACCGACGACGACAGAGAGACGACACGACTACGACGACGACAGAGAGACGACGACGACTACGACGACCGAACAGAAGACCACGACGACTACGACCGACGACAGAAGAGGACGACGACGACTACGACACAGAGAGACGACGACGACAGAGAGGACGACAGAGAGACAGACGACAGAGAGGGGACCGACAGAGAGGACGACGACGACAGGATGAGGACGACGACGACTACGACGACGACAGAGAGGACGACGTACGACTACGACCGACGACAAGAGACGACGACGAACTACGACGGAACGACAGAGAGGACGACGCGACTACGACGAACGACAGAGAGGACGACGAACCGACCGACGACAGAGAGGACGACGACGACGAAGACGCAGAGGAGGACGACTACGACGAGTACGACTACGCAGACGGCAGAGACGACGACGACCGACGACGACGACCGGCCAGAGGGGACCGAGCGACGACGCAGAGAGGACGACCGACGACGGCAGAGGGGACGACGACGACGCCCAGAGAGGACCGACGGACACGCAGAGGGGACGACGACGAGCAGATCGAGGACGGACGACGACGACGAGCGGCAGAGGGACGACGACACGGCAGAGAGACGACGACGACGACGACGGCAGAGAGGACGACGACGACGGCAGAGAGGACGACGACGACGGCAGATGAGACGAGACGACCGGCAGAGAGACGATCGACGACGACGACGACGACAGAGAGGAGGGAGGACGACGACCGACGACAGAGAGACGACGACGAAAAAGACACAGAGAGGAGGAGGACGACACGACGACAGAGAGGAGGACGACGACGACAGAGACCAAATTGGTATTAAATAGAAAATCGCCGTGAAAGGATGTACCTACATAAATTACTTATTACTAGGGGACGGATTTATGACCTGAAATGACCTGAAACATCCATACACCCAAAATGATCAATAAGTGTTGTTAAATTTTTTAAAAATCCTTGAAGCCAAAAAAAATAGTCTGAACTGGTTTCGATCAGAATTTTGTACCATGAACAACTAAACATTTGATAGGTTGGTGATTGTAATTGAGCTTCCTCCTTCTTTCATTCAAGTGACACAGTAACTTGTAACTTTGTTGCTTTAACTAAAGACGATGAGATTTCTTAACGAGGAAATATTGTCCTTAGTGTTAAGCAAAATCACAACCTTACAGTAAGACCGCTGGTAGGTGTACAAAACCGTTAGGTTACATACTCACAATTACAATTTCTTGAGATATCAGAAATCTGTTGCGATAACATTTGTTGCTTTTTCATTAAAATATTATTGAAGCAAGATCATTAAAATTATATTAAAATCATATTATAAAATCAACCGAAAAATTCTTTAAAAATGATAGAGAAAAGTTACAAAATGACTCATAGTCAAAATCAGTGAAGAAATGAAAAAAAAAATGTCTATTTATAAAATGGGGTTCATTTCCTTTTGTATAGCATAAATTAATGTCTATACTCCAAACGAAATTGTGCTTAAAAGTAAAAGAAAAAAGTTGACTTTTATATAAAAATCTACCCCCTTACGAAAATAATTTAGAATTTTTTCCCTTGGGAGCTAGGCCTCTTGAGCATCTTTGATAATTTGTACACTTTAAAGTGGCTCATAGCAGTTAAAACTAAGCAGGGACACAAAAGCATTCCTAAGGACATTCTCTATCCATCTCTAGCATCATTAATTATTTTGTATAAGCAAACAGTCTTGTTTTACATGTCTATTATTTTACTTGCAGAAAGTTTAAACATCACCCTATTAGAAAATTGCCAATTCACATTCGGAAAAAACGCGATATCCTTGATTGCTGAAGCCAAGTATATGAGACCTTGTTTTAAAGATTTTGATTGCTTGAGGCATGAACACTTGTTATTTGTGCTTGCAAATCCTGAGCAAATTATAAAACCCTTTCTTTTGCCTAGGATACTAATTTGATGATAATTTCATTATGCTTTTGCTTTTTTCATGACTGGCGTTTCAATTGAAGTTTTTTGGAAGTGCTACATTATCTTGAGTTCTTAGGATTGTGCTAACACTGATTTACATAGAATAATGTGGTCTTAAACATTCCTTTTAATGTTCACGAGTCTGATTCCAGTCAAATTTATAATCATGACTTCACATTTTCTGAAAATAATAATTCCAATCTTAAAAATATTAAAAGTACACAATTGGAATCTCAAAAGTGACACAAGTTTGAAATAATTCTTCATAAATAAATTCTTCGTCTTTTGTTCTTTACATGTCTTACAAATCTAGTATTGGGTATATGTTTTTATTGGTTTTGCTCATGAGTTGCTGGTGTGCTTTTTTGATGTGTTCGTCCTCTCTGTCGTCGTCGTAGATTAATATTTTTTGTCACGTCAACTGCTACGGTTATTAGTTCCGTGAGCGCAGTGAAACTTTTAACGCCTGTGCCTCCGCTGGATGATGAGATTCGGCGTCGACCTACACAACGGAATGCAGGGGATTCCCCTTCCAGCGGGACACGCCCCAGGCGAGACATGCTCTAAGCGGCCGAATTGTTTTGGACATGTGGTAGTTCTGTGCATGTAAATGTATGATCATGTTTATGAGGTGTGGATACGACAAAGAAGAGGATGTCAAGATAGCGCACCATCCTTGGCCGTTTGTTAGGGTTCTGCTCCGGCATTCGCCTTGTACTGATCGGAGAAACATCGGATAACTGCCGATACTAGTAGGCGCCCTACAGATTTCGACATAGCTATTTCGCTAGTGTTTTAAATACGACATCGTCTGGTCTCGAACCCTAGAAACTCCCAGTCAGAGTCGTTGCAGAAACAACGGCAATGAGCTAACGCCAGCCGGTGGTTGACGACGACGTTTAAGTTGTAGTGGTTGTTGTTGTTGTTAATTATAATAAATTATGCACTCATATTTTACAATTACTATCAACTGTAAGAGTTAATTTGGGGTAATATTTTAGTATTTAAATAGGATATCCGATTATCCAATATTACGCCAATTATATGAATATGACTCTGAAACGTTTAATTTGAAAACAATACCTTAATATAAAAGTAAATTAGAATTTTCATATAATAATAATCATAAAATATTTTTGTCGTGCCTTTGTAGCTTTTGCACACAACCAATCTTAAGAAATAAAATATCATACGAAACACAATTTCATAGAGAGATGTTGACTTACACTTTCGCTTCATAAATATTATGGATTTGTTAAAAAATTATGTGTAAAACTGACAACTGCATAAGCAATTTTCATACACCATAGTGCATGATTGAAAGACATGAACGAAAGATACTATGTTCTAGTCCTTTGAGCAAGGTTAAATGGAGTGTTGCAACATGTGCTAATGCAATGATGAATGTCTATTTCTTCAATGTTTTCTAGTTGATTATATATGGACAAAAGGATAAAAGCACATCTCCATCAAGTAGACATTTGGACACATATGGTTTTAACCAATAAATTATTTTTTAGGAAATATTTTTAAATATATTTTGTTGATGTTCCCTGTAGTTTGCTCAATTTTAAATGGTAAAATTTATGTTACGTTTATAATGCCATGAAGATTGTTCAGATTATTATATTTTTGACTTTTATGATCTCAATGTATGCTACAAGCTTTCTATCTCATCTTACATCTTGAAGATGTTCATAAATCTATGGTTGAAAAATGGAAGAAAATTATTTTATGTAATCCTATGATGGATGATAGTGATATCTCATAATTCAATTGTGTAATTTTTTATAAATTTTTCGTTGTATGGAATATTAAAATTAATATGCTTTGTCTTTAATTTATTGCATACATATTTTAATGGCATGTGGACATAAATAAACTAATAATAAATTGCACTGGCAATGCAAAGATTATATATTCCAATTTTTTACAGTTTTTATCAAAATAGTTAATATATCAATTGCTCAACAAATATATCAATACACTGCTTCAGTATTATCTAAAATTTCTTGCATATTCAACTATGTAAGTAATGATACTAGAACTAAATAATCAACAATTTAAAAAAAATTACTTTCAAAAAATCATGATATATTATACATTTCCGTGGAATTAATATGAATTCACACTCCTTCTTAATATTACCTTTAATACCACAACAAAAAGTGTGATTCTAACTTCAAAAATTTTAGTATGTAAATTCCACATCATTGCAATGTAAATGTTAAACAACATAAAATGTATTGTGGAATTATCTTCACATTTTTGTAAATTAATTATAATTTTGAAAATACTAATATTTCTGTATTTGAAGAAACTTCTAGTCCTTAGTACAACAAATGTATACATACACATGCATGTGCGCACACACACACACACACACACACACATTCACAAACCTCTGCAGATGTGTGAACATGATGTGAGCACATACACTTACACTTTTATATTCAGTGCTGACAAAATAATAAACAAAAAGGGTATGAAAATAGTTAGCTCACTTACAGCAAATTCACCTGCATCCTCACTAAGAGGCATGGCATTCTGGAAGCCATAAGGAGCGGCACAGCCTGGGCAAGGTTCTTCCAAGCTACAGGTAACAAAGGCAAGACAGAACAATTGCAGACATACAAACAAGACATATACTAATTTCATGCATAAATAGGCAATATTCAGGTCCGCACTAGATTCCCACCTACATGGAAAAAAAAAGTATGGAAAAGCAGGTAAATAGTGTGCACTTCATGAAAGTCTGTTTTGAAATCAGATGTTTTTGGCATAGTTATTAAATAGAAATTATGACCTTGTATCTTCCAAGTAAATTTTCTCTTGCTTGTTCTTCCGAAAGAAACAGAAAATAGTGCAGACTGCTACTTCAAAGGATTATATTTCTACCTTTCACAGTAAAGGAAACATTGAAACATACAAACATTCTGGATAATGAAATCAAAAGATATGAACACCCACAAACCAAATGTTAGGAAACTTATTTCACATGGATGAGACCTGAAAAAAGTACTCTAATGTAACATTTTACATGCGAAAGGCATTAAGAATACAAAAACAAAGATTGGTGCTCTTATTTTCCTAAAATAATAATAATAATAATAATAATAATAATAAGACAAATTTTGTTCTAGATCAGATTCTGTCAATGCCTATAACTGATGTTCAATTCTATGAATTGAAGTATGAAATTGTAAGGCTTAATACATTGGTTTGAAGATAGCAAATACGAAAAAACTGAGAAAATTTTAATTCGCCAATTGTGAACTTTTGAGTTTTACAAATGCAATCCAATTGTATTATCGTCATATTGGTCATACATTCTCTTGGAATATATTGTAAACTTTAATGGAAAATTCATGAAACTATGAATGAAAATATTATATTTTTTACGTATAATTCATTTTGAATCACGAAATAGTACATAAATAATAATGAAGAAATCATTGTTGACAACTGGTAGATGAACAATATGTGATACTTCATTATCAAATGCATGGAACAAAGAATCTTCAGCAGGAAATTGAAAAACCAATCCCAAAATCCATAAATCATGAAGAGGATATTCGAGATATCTGTAACTAATGAATTACAAATCACAATAATGTTCACCTAGACTGTTATTTAGTAAAATACATGATGTACAAATTTCAATAGACTACACACAATTGGTAAGGACCTGATATTGTTGTAAGTTTTCTTTTTTGAAGTAAATTATTTGTGTTTTATATTTAAAAAAGTAAAAAATTCATAATGCTTCAACTTTCAAAAGCATCAATTTACATGCAGTACATAATTAGTTTATTATGATATTGAGTAAAGTAAGAATTTATGTACTCTGAGATATTCATAGTTATGATTTAAAAGGGGTGAGGGTAAGCGAAACTATTCAAAATACTAGAAAACAAACTTTTGAGATATTAACCCCTTTTTGGAGTATTTTGAGATAAGATTTGGAAAATTTTATTAGATTCTGCCCTTCATTACTATGTTATGGCATTTCAGTGTGTCAAAAAGCCTAAAACCTAGTCATACAAATACTAGTTCTTCATTTAGATACTGGGTAATTTCGAGACAATTTCTTAAATTGTTATAAGAATGTTTAAGAATGTTATAACAATGCATTACTGTTATTATTTATAGTGAGAAAATTAGGGGTTCTTGATCCTTGTTTTGATTGACAGATAAAAGTTTCCAGGCATGCTAACTACTAATGTTATCTGTAGTGCAGGTTTTCATTGTGAGAAGTGGCAGTGATATTCTCCAACTTGATGGTGATTTCTGAAGCCGACCTATATGTTGGCTTGTGGGGATTTCCCTAGCCAAGGGTGTTCCTCCAGCAGGGCACCACCCCAGCCAGGGCAAGCTCTTAGCTCTCAAATTAGTCTCCCAACATGAATGGTAGTGCACTGCATGTATGTAAAGGGGTGACAATTGGACAAGACAGAAGAAGGAAAGCCAATCCTTTTCTTGCATTGATTCCTTGTAAAATAATTGTTTGTTGCATTGACCTCCTTAAATTTTACAAATGAATATGTAGTATATATACATAATAATCACAACACAAGTAATTCCATATAAATTTAAAAATCAGATTAAATATAACAATTAGAAACAATGATTTATTAAATTGTTTTTTATTTACTTTTTTGCACTATTATCATTTTATAATTGTACAAGTGCAAACAAGTTTCCAGAGAGAGAAAAAAAACCAAAAACACACAAATGAGTAATTTAAAAAGGAATAGCAACTTTTGCAGAGGAGGTTGATGCCAACACCAATTGGTACCCTTGTAAATTGTAAGAGAAAATTAACAAAATCAGATTTCAAAAACTATTTCAAAGACTAGAACTGCTAGACCAAAACAGCCAACATTTTGGGAATCAGCAATGAAAATATGAAATCATATAGAAAGAAAAGAACATGTACTATGAACTTTATGAAAATGTGGTATGAGCTTTATATAAAGTATCCTCAAAATATAAATGATACATTTCAATTATGCAAGGTCATTTCATTCAAACAAAGTGATCAAGGAACATACATTTTGGAGAAAATCTTGTTCGTAGTTGAAATGCTACTGTTGTTCAGACAAAACAAAATTTTGAAAATAAAACAATACTTTTTCAGAATAAGGGTCTTCATAAACATTATATCTGTCAAAATGTCAGACATGACTTTCTTAAAGCTTTACTTAACTATCTCTAAACAATTCATACAACAAAGTAAAAATTTATGATTTTCCTAAATTATATTCACACTTGTCTGTCCATCCCTTTCTTTGGCTAAATATTTTAAACATTGACTAAACTAAAATATTTAAACATTGACTTCTGAACATGCAAATGTCTCTACGTCTAGGTCAAAAATACAAAAATTTCTAGAATGCTAATTAAAAGAAAACATCATTGCCAGGCACTGAATAGTAAAATGCAAGCAGAAGATACATTAAGATAGTTATTACATACTTACTTTATAATTATTATTGTCAATTAATTTATTATATTTTTAATCTAATTCACAATGCGTCTGTTGCACAACTGTTTTTCTATCACTATCATTTTTCATTTGGGAAAGAGAATCATGATTAATTTAAAGTTTACCGGATGGTAATGAGCAGATAAGAGCAGCATAACTTAAAGCATGACATGCAAGCATACAAAATACAATGTGCTTGTGTTCATCATTACAATAAGAACTACCAAAACCAAATAATATGAAATCTATTTTCTATTTCCATGTCAGGATACACATCGGTTTCACCGTCTTCTCAGTGCTTTTCTCTACAATTCAAGTTATACAGTTTTGTTTCATTTGATCCTGTCACAAAATCATTTAAGTTACATATATTAAAATGTCAATATAAATCTTAGTTGATAAACCAATCTCATACAGAAGTTCTTTGAAGAAGAAGTTCACAACATAAAAAATGTTACTATTAAAAGTGCACTGAACATTTCATTGCACAAATATAATCATACAGGTATCCAAAATTTGGAGAAATTGTTTATCTTCAGGCAAGATCTATTGATTAATTTGCACCATTTATTTTGTTCAAAATTATTTCAATACAATCAAGTGTCATTCCTATGCATACAGAGTTTGCGCCACTGGTTGAGAAAAAAAGAGCTTTACAATTTCAAAACTACTGTTAGATGTTTTAGGCCCGAAACAATAAATAATTCTGACTGTAGTTTAAATTCTGCCATCATTCTTTCTTTGAGAGAACTAGCTGCTTATAATGTGTTGTGAAGACATTTTCTTTGCTGTTCTGCATTTAGTACACATTACCATGTTTTATATATTGTCACTTATACTTACAGGTTTACATTATTTGTGTACCCATTATATTAAGAAAGGAATTAGAAGTAGATTCAGATAAGAAGGCATGCATATATATTTTTTGATATTCAGTCCTACCATAGAAGATATTTATTCCTCCTCACATTGGGGAGATACTAATCACAAAATGTTGGGAGATAATTGACTTTTACGAATATATTTTACAAGAAAGTAAAACTATCAATTCAAATAAATGATCATTTGAAAATTAAGAAATACAAGGTCATAATAATGAGATGCTAGAAGATAACAACATTCAACACATATCAAGCAAAAGAAAATAGATGACATACTTGCTGCTAAGAAAAACAAAGAACAAACAAACAAATAAACAAACACATATTCATAATATGCTTGCCACAGGAACAGAACAATGATGCAGCTGCAGAAAGAGGCAAGCCCATTCAGCCTGTAGGATGCAGGATGGCAATAGAAACAATATCACTTACAGTGAAATCATCCACATTGGTACTAAGACTCATATGGTTCCTGTAACCATATGGTGCTGCACAGCCTAAACATGGATGTTCTAACCTGAATAGAAAAACAATTATTCAATTTCTCCCACTCTGGTCATTCTGTTCAACTACGTAAGCATTGAAATAACTCTTCTAATCAGTAAATTCACCAAAAGTTATGTACTGAAGTACTGTGGTTCCCACTTCTGTAATCACGAAAATGTTTTTTTATTATTGTAAGTTTCATTTGTTTTTTATATCAGGATGGCCAACACATTCATAGTCTCAAATTCCTTTCCTTATTTCTTCCACAACATAAAATTGGCTAACGTTTGTACAGATACTTTGTATAGATAACATTTTTTGGCTTAGAATTGATCCTGTTTTTCAAAGGGCCAAAGACATTGGTTGAATATGTAAAATTACAGATTTTGTAAAATGTCACAGGTTACATTCATCTCATTTTATGATATAATTTTATTTGTTTTAATGATTATTGGACAATATTTTTGCTTGAAAGTTTCATGACAAATTAAAATTAATATAGTTACTGAAAAATTTTCGGGGGGGAAATTTCCTTATTTTTGTCCCTTTGGATCCACACCTGTTCAAAGAGACAGAAAGTTTTGAATGATTCAAGTAGTATCCTTATTAGTGTTAGAGGCTAAAGAATGCCACTTTGTAAATGAGAGGACAAAAGCACTGTAGTATTTTGTAATTATTTTTCTGACTCAATTGAAGGCAATAAAATTGTAATTTTAATATTTATTATAATAAAATATTATAGAAATCACATTCAATGGTAACCAACAAAAGTTTGCCCAAAATAAATTTTTGATGTTCAATGAATCACAAAAACTTATGAAAATAACAAATCCGCAATAATTCTACATCACATAAAATTTGTTTCAAAAGAGGAGCAAGAGCAGCAAAATCTTCAATTTGTCAACATTATTCGTTGTTGCCTTCATTTGAAATACTAGTTCAATAACAATTCTTTGGAATAAGAAGCCTCTAAAACTAATGGCAGACACTCAAGAGAAATCTTAGTTGATTATAATCTACTCTCTGCTGGCTAACTTGTACACACAATTCCGATTACAGAAATGAAAAAACTTTCTTAAAAACCAATAAAAATTAAACAATTTTTAATTAAAAGAATGGTGAAACTGACTGAACTTACTTTTTAGGTACCGTGGACACATAAGGCATCACAATCTTGTCCACAAAAGATCCAAAACCTAATCGAAAGTTTGATGTTACATTTCGCATGCTTGCAACAAGGAGGTCACCAAGCGTTGACAATTTATCCTTATCATCTTCCATAGATTTAGAGAGATCCATCAAATAATACAAGTCAACTGGATAATCTTCTGCTTGTGCATATTCAAATTTGATACGATATGCTTCATCTGTAAATACAGAAAACAGAGCAAGTTGAAATTATTTCAATGACACTAGGAAAAAACATCAACAGCTCATGCTGATTTGGATCATCAAATTTTAATAATCATTGTATTTGGTAAAATATCAAGTATCATACAAAGGAAATGGCACTTATGCTATTGAGAATCATATATTGTTCAAATTTTACTACACTTTATTCTTAGAATGTCTCATAAGAAAAAGGAAGTTAATATTTGAATTATTGCAGGTAATGCAGATATTGTATAATATTACGATGATACAAGAAATTAATTATATGACAAGAAACTGCGGTGTAAAACATGATGACTTTTAGAGGGTTTTTGTTCCTCTAATTTTTTTAACGAATCCATCCGTTGCTGCTTGGGAAATGCACACAGCACATTAATACTTACTGATGCGTAACTTAAGACCCACGCGCTGCGGGTAGATTTGCACGATTTTTCTTCGAGAAGAGGAAGAAGACGATGACGACGAAGACCACGAGGACGATGAAGATGAAGAAGAGGAAGACGAGGTCGAGACGGAAGCACCGCCCTTGCCGCCAGCGGCCCCCGCCGCGCCGGCCGCTGCGCCCGCCACGCGACCCCGCGACAGCTCCTGGGCGAGGATCTTGCGGTACTGGATGCTGGGGTTGTGGATGTGGCGTTCGGGGCAGCCCAACTTTCGATTAGACTGGAAACAGCGCTTGGAATCTTCCAGTCCCTGAAACACCATATAAAAAGCTCTCCGTGAAGGGCTCCTAAACACGAACTTCTGCTTTTGAGGGCCCGCGTATCGCCGTTCTCCGCATCGACTCTGACCTCGAGGCTCTAGAGTTCGAGTCCCGGCGGTGGCAGATTTTCGGCAGTAGCTACGTATTTGATAGAGTGATTATTTGGTTTCTTTGCGCGTCAACGACTATGGGCATTAATCTCTCAAGTGTAGTGCATGCTTTTCATCACGGTAGCGGTGACTCTTGGAGGGATCTCCATACAGCGGAGAGATCCAGCGCCGTTCTACGCATCGGCTCGCTGGTGACGTTCAAGCTCCCGATTGGATGATACCGTAGCAGCTCATTAAACGTCACGTGCCATTATAAATAAATGGAAGTATACCAGGTATCTCCCAACAGCGGGGCAAGCTCCAAGTCCCCGACTGGGCGCCCGCTTTGTGTAGTAGTGTAGTGCAAGAACGAGTGAGATTAAATTTGTTTAATTAAGGGGTCGCCAGGCGTATTTTAGGGGCTGCGGGCACCAGAGTCGCAGACAGATAGGACTGTCAATTGATGTCATTCGCGACCTGAAAGATGATTAAGTTTTTTTTTTTTATTCTGCTCCGATACGTCACTTAGGCCTCAGGCTTCCTTACCAGCCGCAAATAAACAAAATGAAGTGACCGGATGCATTTGGGATGAAGGTGTACAAAGACTTTTTACCCTCAGAAATGCACGGTTTCAGCCTGGTTTGAACGTGACTCTATAGTAGTTCGAAATGTTATCGAATGAAGACCTTGTGAATTATTCACTATTTACAAAATATAAATCCTCTCACACGTGGAGTGCTAGATGTTAGGGAATAGCAGAAATTGGTAAAAAATCTACCCCTTTCAATCAATATTACATCTGTTTTTCAAAGTGAAAAAAGACGTTATTTGTACTCCTTTTCTGTCCTTTTTATTATAAACAAAACTGAAATAATATCGTAACCGAAAGCAAAACAAATTTTGGGTGAAATATGCGAGCATTTTTCAATTATTATAAGAAGTTATGAAACTCGTCGGACTTAACTATCGCTTTCTTCCGACTGGCGATAATAGTAAGCAGTATTTTACTCAGAAATTTTAAACTGGGGTGTGGTCACAAAATTAAGGAGTGTGGTACACTTTTAGGTCTCAATAATTTAAGAAAGGTCTTATCAAAAAAGTTGGGATATACTTTTACAATAGTATGACGCACCCAAGGAGGGTGGGGGTATTTGAGCCATTGGAAGGGGTGAGCAGTGGCTTGAGATTCCCCAGTAGAAGCCATATACATATTTAAAAATATATCTTATATCAATTTTCTACACTAACGAAATTGATATAAATCAATTATTAACTAATTAAAATACATTTTATAACCAGTATAAATGAAAAATCCTTTGTGTAAAAAAAACATCAATTCGGCTAGACATTATAAAGGCTAGCCGAATTGAGGTTCTTTACGTAAAGGATGATATATCATCAGCTACATCAGTCCAGCCCCGGCGGGAAAAATGCTTGCTGTGCCACTGAAAATACGCAATGTCAATTACATTGTATTAAATTAATTAATGAAAATGGTACCGATTTGGAGCACCAGGAACATGTGGGCGTGCGAATGCAGTCGGAGCAGTTGAGTTTGCCCAGGCAGGGGTTCTGAGCGTTCGCTTCAGGTGCTGCCAGAAGTGCCAGAAACACCGTCACCAGCAGCGTCGCGGCGCCGCCCCACCACAGCCGTCGATCCATCGGGTTCGTTTCTGAAAAGATCAACACACAAATTACAGGACTGTAATTCATTTGCTATTTATTTAGTATATGGCAGCGTACATATTTCATACAATACGGTCCGACAACCATTCGACCAGAATGAAGCTATGAAATCCAGCTATAGTTCTGCCAGTAAATCTAACATCGAGACTTTCCGGAAATTCGAATCAAAATGCTTTCGCCAAGAAGTAACGTACCTTGGTACTTATCCAACAAAATTTTACAACATGACAATACAGTTTACGACAATATTATACACACCTTACAAGACATACGACTTTACAATACGCCACCATAATGTCCGCTTTAACATATTAACCTGCTTAGCCTGTGGCGAGGGACACCTAATTGAGACGAATATAGTTTTCATCATGAAGCTATAGAACAATAAAAATTAATTATATAAATAAAATTATAAAAAGGAAATATTATCCATTTTGGTAAAAACAACTACGATTATTTTATCTCGAAAATTATAATATTTATTTACAATATCCTAATTAATTTCCCGTTATATTTGAAAGAATTTTTTTCTTATCAATGAATTTAAAAAAAATCTAATGAGCCTTAGAAACTACGATTACACTAGTGTGTAACATTCGCCGACGATACCGGAATATTGGTTTCACATGACGCAACTCAAGCATCAACAGTTATCAACACCTCGATGTACTGCAGCTGTGTTACGATGGCGATGACTATGATACCGTAGATCAGAGGGTACGAAAACACAAAAATTGCAATAACTCTTGATGACGTAGATCTTTCGTCTTCTCGTGATTTACGACAACCAAATGGAGTGTAAGGATAGCCTTCCCACGTTTGCCACAGGATAGCAACATGCCTTTCAAACCTGCCTGGCCGTTGTGCCCGTCCTTCGCCTTCATGATCTTATTTAAAGAACTCACTATGGAGAACAAATTTTATTTGAACGAAAACTATCTTCAATTTTGTAGTTGTAGAAAGACGCAGAAAAAATTCAAAATTTTTGAAAATTCAGAGCTATTAAAAAGTTCATAAAATTCCCTTCATGTGTTGTACAAGTATCGTACGCCAGTAATTACACATACTAATCACCAAAACCGGAAAAATTCTACCAATAGCAATTATCCGCACAGAACTTCAAGCATCGAAGCAACGAAACGAAATTTGTAATTTATTTTCTGTTGATGAAACCTATCGATGAAACCAGATGCTATTCATACGCTTAAAAGAACCGCCAAAATTGTAAACAAGATTGACACAGCCTTCTAGATTCGTGTCTAGTAACCAATAAAGCAATGTTGCCAAATATTATGTACCGAAAAATGGAGTGCGACTATCGAATAAGTGGGGTCCATGAATACGAAACTGTCATAAGGATTCATTTCTTTTAAGTAAATGCTTATTACTTAAGCGATTACATATCGTATGAGTCGGCTATGAATACGGCCTTAAGTGTAGTAACCGAGCTCAATCCTGTAAAGATGCCGAAGTTTCTCACTGGTATTGGCTAATTTTAGATGCAAGTGCAGTGCAATACAATCCTGTTTTTCCCTCCAGTTTTTTAAGTTTTTAATGCCCCTTTCGGAGCCTATTTTTTAAAAAAATTTAGTGCCCTTTCAGGCGCCTAGAACGTAAGTTTTTAGCGCCTTAACACCCGATGTCTAGTGATGGCTGAGATGAAGAAAAGTGCCCCGTCGCGCCGGCAAAGCAACAAACGGCGAAGCAACGCCCGCCAAGGCGGCCGCCACACGGCTGCCTCCGCGCGGAGACAGACGACGCGAACAGCTGTGCGGGCGGGCGGCACATCCATGCACGCGGGGCAGGGGCGGAAACGCCAACTCCAAGCGTGACGTCACGCCTGCAGAGCTGCTGCGAGACGCGGACCGCGTCCCGCCCGCCCGCGGAGGCCAGTCGCTAGCGTCTGCGGGCGCCTCGTTCTTCTTGCGTAAACGCCTCGTTTGACCCGATTCTTCCCACGTTGTGAGAAACCTTTTCGTTTTGTTTTTTAATTTTTCGAGAGCATACATTTTCTATCATGTGTTTCAAAAACAAATAATAATAACAATAATAACAATAATAATAATAATAATAATAATAATAATAATAATAATAATAATAATAATAATATGAAAAAAATACTTCGGGGAAATATAATTTTAAGAAATTCTGTAGGAGTTACTCGCAGTCGCGATAAGTTCAAAGACCCGTAGTAGCTCTACAAAAGCTATATAGTTGTAGATGTTTTTGCCTTCCTTCTAATTCTCCGTATTATTCTTATAATTTCTGCTGCCAATAATTTTCATTAGAAAATATTCAGTTAAATTATTTCTGAAAATAACTTTTGCATCACACCCAAGTACTATTTCTACAATGAATTCTCAAAACATCACCTTTATGAACTATTTAAAGCCCACACATAT